TTCTTGGTGATTATCGAGCCCGCAAGCGAGCTGCGGATATTGACCACCTTTCTTAAGAGGGGGGGTAGTGTAAGGAATTTTCCCTAATTCCTTATCGGTGTTGACTGCTTCGCGTACAGCCCCGATTTTCAGACTCTGCACGTTTGGCCGACATCAACGATGCCGAGCCTCCTCGCGTCGCCTTCGGCGTTTCCCTTCGCCAAACCTGTACCCAACCTCACTCACCCGAAGTTCCCTCCTAGCTAGGCTAGCCACTACATTAGCGTGTGCCTTCATTGTATGATCAGTCTGTTCAATCACATTCTCGTTATTCGTTACTATGCGCACTCTCCGTTACAACTCATAACAGAGAGTAGCACTGTAGGGAGTACAACACTTTTGGGGTTGCTATTTGTATCCCTTGCTTCCCTAGTTCATCCATTCCGTTGCATTCTATTTTTGAGAAATAAGTATAAGCTTCAAGGGGGGTGCGCTTATAATCGAGGATCGGCCATAAGCGCCATGCTCTAGATAGAAGCCGCGGGCGCCTTAAATGGGACGGCGCCTATATCCGGGGTTATACCGTACCAGCCAGCACTGACCGCGTTACTTAAGACAAAAATGCGTATCTGACTTTCAGACCATCAGACGTTTCGTTTGATAACAAGGGCCCCATAATATGTCAACAATGCTTGCTTATACCTCTGTTGAAGACATTTCCTCAAGAAACTTTGCAACTAGCTCATAGACAAAGAAGGTGATGGCAGCAGATGGGGCGGCTTTCATGACGGAAGGCAGCACGCCTTTATAGAGCCCCTCTACCCCCTCGGCGGCCACTATCTTGCGCAGCGCGTCTATCATGCCGCGGTACGCCCTCGGCTGAATGCGCGCTCCGTACCTCGGATGGCGCCGCAGCCCCTCCACCTGCCGCATCGATTGGGCCAGAGTGGGCGAAACAAAGAAGGAATACGATGAAACGCCTTCCGATCGCAGCTCAGGGGAAGAGACTCGTTGTACATGGATGGGGCATGACATGACATGGCACAGCGTGGATGAGGATGGGGCATGGAGCAGCATGGGATACGCATCCCATGGAGTCACATAATATGAAATAGCATTGCAAGGCAAGGCAAAGCATGGGAAGGCATGGCAAGGCATGGCAAGGCGCGGCAAGGCATGGCACGGCATGGCAAGGTATGGGAGGACATCTCACTTGGAATCGCTTTTTGACGACATCGAGTGGGTGGCAGGCGACCTTGGCGAGTGTGCCCGCTGCCAGCCCACACATGAACTGCTGCCACGCGCTCAGATGCCCCGCAGATAGGGCAGGCCGTGCCGCCCGCTCCACTGCCGATGCCACGGCTGGCAGGGCTGCAGCTGGTGATGGTGATGGCGGCGGGGAGAGTGGCGCGGTGGATGGGGCTGTGGAGGGCAGGTGCGAGTGGGCGAGCGACACGGGGCGGTCGTGGCGAGCCTTGGAGCGCGACCAGTTGTAGTGCTGCATGCAGTGAGAGGAAGCGGGCGGCAATGCCACACAAACATGTGAGCAGGCTGACGTGGCAGCAGTTAGTAAAGAGAACGGGGTGGAGACAGGAAGACTGTCGGGAGTAGGTACCACGAGATAGGAGTTGAAAGAAGATGAGGTACGTGGACGGCGTATGCTAGAGCAAGTCCAACAGCATTGGTTGGGGGCTCACCAACAGAATGGCAATGGAGGAGGGCAAAGCAAGTGAGAAGGTGCGATCGCTGCGCCTCCGCAGTGCTGCTACCGGCACGGCACCTCATGGCCGCCAGAGAGCAGAGGGGGGCATTCCAGATAGAGGTGCTCCGAGCGCGCTTGGGGGAGGGGGTGCGAGAGGGTGGGAGAAGAAGGCAGGGGGGCGTACAGCGAGTTGGCGTTTGAAGGCGTCGTAGAGGCCAAACTGCAGGCCGGCGTAGGGGATGATCTCCACCATGGTGGGCGGCAGCCCTGCAAACAGCCCCCTCACCCCGCGCTCCCTCACTATCCCCATGCAGGCCGCCCTCATGCCTGCATACACCTGCGCTCGTGCGTTGCATGGGGTGGGGGTAGGGGGGTTTGAGTGAGGAGAGATGGCAGCAAGAGTGAGAGACGACAAAGAGCACATCGAAAGTGAAACTGGCAGTGTGTGAGGGAGAGGGAGTTGGCATGATTGAGGGCGGAGGGGCTCGCCCCACCTTGGGCTCGCCCTACCTTGGGCTCGCTCTACCTTGGGCTCGCCCTGGGAGGCGAGCACGGTGCGCAGGAGGTCGAAGGGGTACGACCCCACCGTGGCCGCCATGCCTGCCACCGACCCGCCCACGAACGACAGCTCCGCCCGCAGCTGCTTGTGGTCCTCTGCCGGGGGGGTGGGCGCATGGGCGCATGAGGGAAGGGGAGGAAGCTGGCTCGTGAGCAGGGGATGACAGCTGGCTGCTGTTGCTTGAATGGGGGGCAGATAGGAAGGAAGGGAGTGGGCAGCACGGGGCCATGATGGTGGGTGGAAACAAGTCGCTGACGGAGTGGTTTAACGGCAGTCACAGGGAGGGTAGGACAAACAAGGGTTGACACAGACATGGGAAGGGAAGGAGGGAGGCAGAGGGGGGGCACGGGGCTTGCTTGACGTCCCCATCGCCACCCCACTCGCCCCACAGCCCGCCCTCCATCGAGTTTTGAGACGTCCCAAAACTCGCCCCACTGCCCGCCCTCCATCTCACCTCCCCTGCTTACTGCCGGCCTGCCCTGTGCGCTCACCTGTGCGGTGCGAGCCGGTCATGAGCGATTTGAAGCGGTGGATCACGACGAACTGGATGGCGGTGTAGGGCATCACGAGCAGCAGCCCCGGCACCGTGCCCCGCCAGAAGCCCTGCTCCCAGGCCGGGGGGAGAGAGGGGAGGGGGAACAAGTGTTGGGGGGCTTGGGGAAACGTGGGAGATGGGGGAAGGGGAGGCAGGGCGAGGTGGAAACTGGGCGAGGGAGAGGAGCAAGGCGGAGGCGCGGAGGAGGGTGAATGAGGCAGGCTGGGGTGAGGGAAAGTGAGACGAAGCGTGGCGAGCGGATGGGGTGAATGGGCACGGGGCAGGGCACGGGCCGACATCTGCCTGTCCGCTGCTCTCTGCATGCTTGCTCCCTCTGGCCCGCGCTCTTGCTCACAGCAGCTTCCAGCCCGTTCAGCTCATGCAGTAAGTTCAGCTCATGCAGTAAGTTCAGCTCATGCAGTAAGTTCAGCAACGCCCTGTTCCTCCACCCTCCCTTCCTGCCCAGCCTCGCTCACTCCCCCTCCCTCCCCATCCTCACCCCCTCTCCCCACCTCCCTCCCTCCTTTCCCCTTTTCCTCCCTGCTTACCACCTTTCCCCCTCCATCCCTTCCGAACCTCTAACCCTTCCACCCACTGCCTGTCTCCCGGCCGCGCCACATTGTGCCCACAACAACCCCACAGCCTAAACCCTGGACCTCAGCTCCGCACCCGATCGCCTCCCACATTCCACGCCTCCCGCCTCGGCCCGTCTCCATCCCCCTCCCGCATCCCCTCTCCCCACCCAGCCCCACCTGCACGCCTTCCTCGCGGAGGATCTCCCGCGCGGCCTGCAGCAGCCCCGTGTACTTGGACCGCGACGCGCGCACCGCGCCCGCCGCCACCGTCGCCGCCGCGCGCCCAGCTGCGGAGGTGGCGGCGGCTGCGGCATGCGGCGCGTGGATGGGCTCCAGCTGCACCTGCGGGGATCGCGAGGGCGGCGGGGTGGACGGGGCAGCGGCGTGCGGTGCGCGAGGGCGCGCCACGGGAAGGGTGAGAAATAAGTGCGCGCCCGTTCGGCTGATCGCGGAGAGAAGAAACGAGGAGAGAAAACGGATCGCGGGGCGGCACTATGCAGCGTGAAGGCATGAGGACGGTCCGAAGCAGCTGCGGAGACGGAGCGAGGAGAGAGTGTGAGGCATGCATGACGTGGGAGGTATGCTGTGAAAGGCACCTGGAATCGGATCTTGATGACGTCGAGCGGCGACACCACGAGGCGCGCCACCCCGCCCGACACGGCCCCGGCAACGGCGTCGAGCACGGGGCGAGGCAGCAGGTGCTTCCTCTGTGCGCGCGGCGACGTCGATGTGGATGGCGGCGATGCAGGCGAGTCGGGCTCGCGAAAAACGGTCATGGCTGCGATCGAGGCGGTGGGAGTCGGTGTGTGTTCGATGCACGCTGACGCGCTCAGCCTACTACTAGATGCATGGCGTAACGACCCCTCGCGCACACCTACAACGTCAGCCTTATTCGAAGCACGCAATGAGAACTTCAGAAGAACTCCTGAACGGCAAAGCTATTTTCTCCCGTCAGCCAGACCAGCAAAACAAATATCTAGGCTTTTTGGCTTGGTCGGATCGGATGGCGGTTCAGGCTTGTCCCTCGGAAATTGCAACCAATCGCAAGCCTCTCAACTCATCGCCGAACTGATCTGCATTCTTGCCTTCGTCCTTGCGATAGCAAATTTGATATCCTGTGGTCCACGGCTGTCGCGCGTGTTCGCGCCCAGTTCGAACATCATGCTAACCAGGTTCTCGCGGAGTCACCCCAAAAGGGTGAACGATGGAGGATTTTGGAGGTTTAAAACTCCCGCCTATCCATTCTTCTCCCACCTCAACCCAATCCAAATCATCGCATTCTGAGCTAGCCTTCACCCGCTTTCCATCAAGCGAGTCGCAGTGCTCCCACACATTACCAGCCACGCAACCATGGCGAACGTGACCGTATGCGTTAGGTTCCGGCCCCAGGTGAGTACGAAGCGAGTGAGCCCGTTGAGGCACGCCGCGTGTTGAAGCAACTAACGTGGTCTCTGGGATGAGCAGAACAAGATCGAGCTGCACGAAGGCGGGTTGATCTGCGTCGAGAAGAACTGCGACCAGTCGTTCTACTTGAAGGCACGACCGATGACCGTGACATCTGCTTTTTTTGTTGATTCGTGTCGGCGTACGGGAAGCGTTTAACGCGACCACGCATGGCAGGATGAGAAGGAGGAGAAGACGCTGTTCACGATGGACAGGACCTTCTACCAGGACTCGTCGCAGCAGGAGGTCTTCAGCTACGTCGCACTGCCCGTCGTGCAGGGTACGATGAATCGCCACGATTGCGAGGTTCTCGAGAATTGCTTAACTTATCCCGCTAAAAGAACTGTCGCTTGGTGATCCGCAGATGCTCTTTCCGCAATCAACGGCACAGTGCTCGCGTATGGTCAGGTATGGCCGATTCAGCTCGTCGATTCACGATTCGTCGTATTAACTGGCCACCTTCCGTGCAGACCGGAGCGGGCAAGACGCACACGATGGAGGTGAGCGCAGCTTCGGTCTCCGCATCCCGCTGCTGCTTGCGCGCCGTGCCTGACGGCGGTTTTTCTGATCGCAGGGCCCCAACATGCTCATCGACGACCCCGAGAGTTCCGGCATTCTCCCGCGCGTGGCCAAGGAGATCTTCGTCCGCATCAACGCGACGGCGGCCCCCAGCGAATACAAAGTCGCCCTCTCCGTGGTAAAGCTTCGGTGCAATTGTCAATGTTAGCCTTAGACCTGACAAACGCTGACAGAACATTTGGGCAGGTCGAGATTTACATGGAGCGGATCAGGTAAGCTACTTGCACAATTCAACAGGTCGAAACACATATATTGAGACCCTCCTCTTGAGACTTTTTATCTCTGACACGGAAGCACACTTTCTTGTTGAAATAGCATCGTTCAAGAATTGTGTTCTACCAGGGACCTGTACGATGTGAGCAAGGACAACCTGGTGGTGAAGGAGGACCAAACCCGAGGGATCTCCATTGCCGGCGTCACCGAGGTGCGTCCATCTTGGTGGTGGCGCTCCTCTTGTGCTCAGTGCTGTGCAATGGCTTCGCACCTTTCATGCATGTGTTCGTTGTATGCTGCAGATATATGTTGAAGGCGAGAAGGAGATGCTTCAGCTTCTTGAGGTACCCTGTTCTCTAACTTTCCGCACCTGCTCTTTGAAACTCAGCAGAGCTGTTAACTCTTTTCTTTCAGGCTGCGATCAAGAATCGGGCTGTTGGGGCGACCAGTAAGTGTTTCACATCGTCGCCTGGTCCTTATTGCCTTGACTTGCCTGTTCCAGCAGAGCTTGCGATGCTCAAGTGACCGTTGTCATTGCAGACATGAATCAGGGAAGTAGCCGCAGCCACTGCATGTTTCTTCTGACAATTCAACGTACCTCTGCTGATGGGAGCAGGTGTGGTAGTAAGAACTTCTTTTCACTTCTGCTAACCGGTCCTTGTGCTCATCAGCAATTGTCTTTGGCAGCTCGCAAGTTGGAAAGATCTACCTTGTGGATCTGGCTGGCTCGGAGAAGGTTGACAAGACAGGGGCGGAAGGACGGCTGCTGGACGAGGCCAAGATGATCAACAAATCGCTCTCTGCTTTGGGGAATGTCATTAACGCCCTCACATCCGGTGGGGTTTCATTCGTCTTAACCTGATTCTGGTCCTGTGCTGTACATCTAAGGTTGAGAATCGATGCAGATAAGGCATCGCACATCCCCTACCGTGACTCCAAGCTCACTCGGATACTGCAAGAATCGCTCGTGAGTCAATGTTTGTTTGAGTCGCCGCGTGAGTGGGTGGAGGCAACGGCTAAAGCAGAATGACGAATTCAATCTGTCACTGCAGGGTGGAAATTCGCGTACAACTCTACTGTGCTGCTGCTCGCCTTCCACTTACAACTACACAGAATCCGTATCCACTGTTCGCTTCGGGTTAAGGTAGCAGTTTCAGCTCTATCTGCCACTTGATTTTGCATGCCGCTTGTTTGACTGGCTCTCACGTGCACCCAATGGCAGAGCGAAGCAAATCAAGAACAAGCCTGTCGCCAATAAGGAGGTGGGGCGTGGGGAGCTCCAGCGTCGCTTGCAGGAATCAGAGCTGGAGTGCGAGTTGCTGAGGCAGCACATTCAGACCTTGACCCTGGCCATCCAAAGGCTTCCTGGTGGAGGTATTGTCGATATGGAGCTTGCGGGATGGGCAGCAGCCTTGCAGCTCGTTTGGTAACCTCCCCGCTGTCCATGCAGATGGCATTTTGAGGGACGTTGGCGATCCAATCAGCGGAAGAACTTCAGGATCGGATAACAGCCTGAAGGTGTGCTTGCTTAGGAAACACCTCGTTGAATGTGCATCCTGCTTGTATGTTGAGCCCATTTGATGTTGTGCAGGGAAGCCAAATGCTTGCTGCGTGCATTGAGGGGTTGCACGGCATAATTGCCAGTGAGGGCATGGCCTGGGCGTCTGAGCTGCCCACCATTGAAGACACGAGTGACATTCCAAAGCTCCTGCCTGGTGTGGTTGAGAAGCACCTCTCTAGTCAGTCCAGTGAGGGAAACGATGAGAAGGATTTGAAGTACCTCGAAGAGGCATTGGATGATATGGCTGCCCGTCTCAACAAGGTGAGGAACGTGGCTTATGAGACTGATTGTTTGCCAGATTTGTTGTCTAATATTTCATTTGATTGTGCAGCTGGAAAGCAAGATAGGAAGATAGCACTGCTTTGCCACCATGCCTATGTGCTAGCATGTGCTGTGTGCACATTGGGAGGCCTGTGGTGGAGGTTTGGGATGCAGGGAAAGTTCAGCTTGGTGGTAGTGAGAATTTGCAGCGCGTCATCTTCCACCCATCTCCTGGTGGTGTTCTCTCGCACCATGTCTGTTACTACTTCCTGTTGGGCTGAAAAGGTCCTTAGGATCGTGTCAAGACTAAACTCTCAGGGTGGTGATGTATTTAGCGGAAGCGTAATAGTGGATTAATTGAACCACCTTGTACTACTATGTGAGAACAATATGAATTGATTATAGCAAAGAGATACAAGGTTTTATATGATTACAAGGAATAAGAAGGGTTTAACCTCTAACCAGGCCTCTCGATATCAGGGTAAAACACCCTTATGGACCTTACTATAAGGGTGGGTTTAGGTGATCACCCTTGTTTTTAAAACTTGTTTTATGAGGCACCCTTAGCCGAAAAAGTGTTCATTTGGTTAACACTGATTTTTAAGACAGGCCTGGTGTACTCGCCCTGATGACAAAGACTAGTGTCGCGTACCACCCTGATGCGATTTCACGCGGCGGGGTGGGGGGGGGGGGGTACTGACGAGATTCTGCCGTGATTAGCGGCGTTTTCCCTGAGTCAGCAGATGTGCGCGTCGCCTTGACGGCTCGCGTCGCCACTGCCACAGGCTCGTCAACTGTACCTGGCACACCTGCAATCTTCCCAGCTGGCAATGCCGCGCAGCGCCACACACACCTGCTTCGTGTAGGAGGTGTGTCCAGCATGGAAGCTTCTTCTTCCCTCCCCAGCAGGCCCCCACCCACCGACCAGTCTCTCCCACGCACCCAACCCAGTCCTCCTCGTCTCATTTCTCAATTCTGCCTCCTCGCTATCTCGTCTGGTCTAGGGTTTGCGTTGCACACCACCCCACCACCACGCTCTCCCAATAGCTAGCGTAGGCCCAGCTCCTGCAACCACCCCTCTGGCCCTCGCCATGGCTGCTGACGAAACCACCGATGGTGACGACGAGGCACGCCGTGAACTCCAAAAATCACCCCTGCGAACGGGCCTCAGCTTTCTACGAACCCCTGCTAAGAAGCTGTCAGATCCGGAGCCCGTAGTTGCTTCAACTGAGGACGAAACCCGCGCGGATGAATCAGGGCGTGACCTGCGCTCACCTGAAGTTTGCACTACCACGGCGGAACCCTCACCTCCAGAAGCGACGGCTCCTGAAACGGAGATAGGCGATGCGGCTGGCGACTCTGCGAACAAGAAGCGCAAAGAGTCAAGCGGTGACAGTGCTAAGCAGTGGTGGCGACAACCGAAGCCCTCTGTGAAGCGGGCGGCACGTCCAATTCGACGAGTGGAGGACGAGGGAAGTGATGACGAGGAGGAAGAAGACGGCCTGCCGACTGTCGAAGAGATGGCCCGTTACCCCGAGATCGCTTTCGCTAAAGCGCATAAGCGATTTAAGACTTCATGGGAGTCTTTGTTTCCGTGGCTAATTTTAACTCGTGATGACGTTGGCTTCCCCATTTTGAGATGCAGCACGTGCTTGGAACATGGAGCTGAAGGCGCGAAAACGGCTTACGGCAAGGGAGGCAGTGGAGGGCGTGACATGCAGAAGGGGAGCATCCGGACGCACCAGCGCTCCACCGCACACCAGGACGCACACGCCGAGATGAAGTCGAAGGAGAGCCGGAAGCTTCGTCAAACGCTGCTGAGCCAGTTCGAGGGGTTGGATCGCAGCACTCTTCGCATCATCACCGCTCTCAAGACTACCGTATACATCTGCAAGTCGGAGGCGCCAATCACCTCCTACGTGGGCACCATCAAGTTCATGGATGAGCTCGGAGTCCCGAACCTTCCCTTGGATTCCAAGGGAAACTACTTTTCGGAGTAAGTTTCGGGGTACTTGGTGTCGTTGTACTTGTTCCGTTACAACTGCCTTGATTGATCACGTGCTAACCTCTGTGCTTGTATCATGCAGGTACGGTTTCGGGGAGCTGCTAGATGCTGCAGCGAAGTACATGTGGCAAGAGCAACTGAAGCAGATCGAGGCGAGCCCGTACATCTCCATTCAGCTCGATGAGAGTACTGACAAGGCGCGCGGCAAGCAAATGATCGTCTACGTCCACTTCATGAAGGAGGGAGCGAGCATCTGCGAGTTCCTCACGCTGCTGACAGTTGACAAGTGTGACGCGGCAAGTCTAGTCGACGTGCTATTGACCCACCTTGACGCCGTGGGCATTGACTTGTCCAAGATTGTTGGAATCAGCACCGACGGCGCCAGAGTAATGACGGGCACCAGCAATGGTGTTGTGGCACGACTCCGGCAGCGGAATCCCTATCTCGTGTCGTGCCATTGCATCGCACATCGGTAAGTCCGTCATTGTTACTGGCTTTATGGCAGGTGTGTGTTGATCATGTACTGCCCACTCACTTCAATCTCTGGCATCCTGCGTTCTACCTTGAGCAGGGAGGCGTTGGCCGCGAAGGATGCCGCTGAGAAGGTGACGGAGTTCAACATCATAGACCAGGCGGTGTGCAACGTGGCAGAGCAGCTTTCTAGGTCGAGCAACTGGCACCGGCGATTCGAGCACCTTCAGGAGTACATCTGCGAAACCAACCTGGAGCTGCAGGGGATCCACGACGTGCGATGGCTCTCTAGAGGAGAGGCAGTCAAGCGGTTCGCCAAGGTTCTGCCGGCGACAATCGTCCTGCTGCACGATTTCAAGCACGCGCTATACGAAACGGTCACCTCTTTCAAATTCCACTTCATGCTTTTCTTCCTTGCAGACATTCTTGCCGTGCTCAACGAGCTCAACGCCAAGTTCCAGAAGCAGCAGGTGACATGTGGAGTGCTTTGGTTGTACATATAGGCGTTTGTTTCACTGCCATGTTCCCGGTTGTTGTGCGCCGTTCTGACCTATTGTACATCAACCTCTGGCAGCAACTATTCATCCCACGCCCACTCACAGGTTGACATCACTGTGGTCGCGGGGGAGGTGTCACTCGCTTGCCGGACGATCGATGTGCGTTACGTGGACTGCGAGGATCGTTTTGGCAACGATCAGTCACCCCTGCTCTACGCGTTCCTGAAGAAACACGGCAACCCCGAGCACCGCGAAGTCACTGTCAAAGGCGTGGACCAGAACGGCGAAGCTGCAGAGGACGAGTTCGTGCTTCACGAGCGCAAGATCCCAGGCCATAAGACTGGCGGGGACTACTACTCCTGCAAGGCGGTGTGCCAGGAGTTTGCGAGGGTCTGCGTTGCGCGACTGGAGTTCCGCCTGGAAGACCTCAAGAACCTGGCCGGCTCCAAGCTTTTCCGGCCATCGTGCTATCCCGACGACAACGCGCAGCGGATGAAGAAGTGCCGCGAGTGGTTGGGCATGCTAGACCACATGTTTCACCACCGCCTCTTTGGTACGCCACCTGGTTGTGCCTGCAATGTGTTGTCTGCTGTGTGTGTGTGTGTACCTTGGTGTGCTGTTAAACACCTCCTATATGCCCCGATCGCCCCTCTCACTGCTCTGCTCTCCCATCATGGCAGGTGTGTGCTTCAAGGCGTGCGAGAGGGAGCTACCATTGTTTCTCCACACCATGGATACCAACCACGGGAACATGAGCTTCCACAAGTCGCTCTCGCTCATGCTCCAGTCAATTGACTACATGGGAGCGTACCCGAACCTTGTGCAGCTGTGGCAGGCCGTAGCTGTGCTCCCCCTCAGCACGGTGGAGTGCGAGCGTGGCTTCAGTCGCCAGAACCGTATCAAGACGTGGAAGCGGACCTGCCTGGGCGACGCCAAACTGGGCGATCTGATGACTGCAGCTCTCCTGCCCAGTGATGGTCTGAACTGGGTGAATGTGGTAGCCGTGTTCAATGCTAGGAAGAAGCGCCGTCCTGCCCAGGAGTTTCGGTATTGACTTGTGCTGCTCTGCTCCGTGCTAGGAGTATTCTGCTGGAACCGGACCAGGCCAGACCATCCCATATGTAGGTCGTGTTGTTGTTCTAGTTCTAGTCATATATTTTATTGTTCTTTGCACGTCATGTCAACCTAAACATTAAGCGTTGGTTAAAAAAAAATGGTACAAGTAACCGAGGTCCACAGTACACTGACGAGCACGAGTAACAATGCAGCCAACACTGATACACAAGACTGACATGGCTGCCCCACCCTTACTGAAAGACCAGCTTTGGCAACCTGCCCTTTCGACTAAGAGTGCTTCCAAACCTATCCAGAGGCCTGCCTCTAACTGCTGTTGCGGTTCGATACAGCGATGAGTTGGGTAACTGCTCAATAACAAGTCAGTTATTTGTCCTTGCTCTCGCGCTGCCTTTATCAAATCAAAGGTCGCTGACCTTTGACATTCGCTTCAACCTCTTGCTGTTGTCGCCTTGTCAACCGCTTTGGTTGACTCGGTGTTGCTTCGCTGTGAGTATGGTTCTCTTTTGTTATAGTGCTCGATACTTCAGAAGCGTAAACTAAATGTTTCCAACACTCCCCTTTGCTTCTGGAGTGTCATCGGCTTCATTCCTGATGACTTGGCCCTGTCCAGTCAGCAGCATGCAGTACTCGAACTTCTGCTTTCCAAGTTTCTTGGTCAGGTAATTTGCTGCCATCTCGAACGTGGGGCAGTAGGATAGCTCGAATCTCCCTTTCTCGATCTTGTCCTTCACGAAGAAGTAGCGTAGGGCAATGTGTTTCGTTCGGTTCGCGAACCCGTGTTAGAATCTAGCTTGACTTAGGAACCATGGCTAGGGAGGATGGGTGCTAGCACAGATGTCGAGAAAGTTGAGTGCCGAGAGAAAAGTCGAGAAGGAGAAAATGAGGAAAAGTGTTTTCACTAGCAAGAGTTGGGATACAAATAGCAAACCCTAAATTGGGTTGTACTCACTACAGAATACCCCACTGCAGGCTAGACAGCAAATACATTCTGACACACCCCCATAGTCAAAGTGGGGTATAATCAGCAGAGCAAGCAGTCATAGAGCAGGTTCACAAGTACAAGCAAAGCTAGAGGCATTCACAAAGGGCAAGTGAGGAGGAGGAGGCTGGACTGTGAGAGGAGAGGAGATAGGAGGCGACGGCTGATGCTGCAGACACACGGGCAACAGGAGCGGCGCGCACTGTGGCTACCGGAGTCGTTTCCCCGGACTACAGGAGTAACTGGCTCTGTGGCTAACTCTGAGTGGCAGGAGCAACGGACCCACAGGCGACAGGCGAAGCAGGCTCTCTGAGCTACCAAAAGCAGAGCCCCGGACTACAGGTGCTGCGGACGACAAGACGGCAGCCTCCGCTCAACCTCCCCCAACTGTCCCACCCCCCTTTCACACACCCCTTGCTGCACCCCTAGCTCCACTCCCACGTCACCCCCCTAGCACCACTCCCTCGGCTCCCACACACCCACCCCCCTCAGCGGCAGCTGCAGCAGTGGGAGACGAAGGAGGAGGAGGAGTAGGGGACGGTACACACACCCGCTGGGGGGGGCTGGTGCAGCAGATCCCCTCCCTCCACCGCCGCATCCGCAGCAGGGGGAAGGAGGAGAAGGGGGGGGGGGGGGGGGGCGGGGGGGGGGGGGGGGGTGCCGTAGATCCCCTCCCCCCCACTGCCGCACCCGCAGCAGAGAGATGGAGGAGAAGGGGGGGCGGAGGGGGCTGGTACTGCAGATCCCCTCCCGCCTCCCCCTGAACTTCCAAGCTCCCCCCCCTCTCCCAACACAAGTTGCGGCAGGGAGAGAGAGAGGAGGAGGCGCGGCGGCAGTGGCTGCTGCTGAGGCACATCCGCCACCCCCTCACACCCTCTCCCCCCCGTCCCCATGGAGGGGGGGGAGGGGGGCGGGGGCGGAGCTGCGCGTGCGACTGTAGGGCACGCGGGCAGGAAGAACCCCCTCTTGCCACCCCCTTACCCACCATGATGCGACAGGGCACCGGGGCCGCGGTTAGGGGCGACAGGTCGCGAGGGGCCATGGCTAGGGGCGACGGGGCCATGGCTAGGGACGGGGCCGGGCGCTGGGCAGGTACGGGGCCGGGCGTTGGGCTAGGGACGGGGCTAGGCACTGGGCAGGTACGGGGCCGGGCGCGGGCTAGGTACGGGGCCGGGCGCTGGGCTAGGTACGGGCCGGGCGCGGGCTAGGTACGGGGCCGGGCGCTGGGCGAGGGACGGGGCCGGGCGCTGGGCAGGTACAGGGGCCGAGCGCTGGGCTAGGTACGGGCCGGGCGCGGGCTAGGTACGGGGCCGGGCGCTGGGCTAGGTACGGGCCGGGCGCGGGCTAGGTACGGGGCCGGGCGCTGGGCGAGGGACGGGGCCGGGCGCTGGGCTAGGTACGGGGCCGGGCGCGGGCTAGGTACGGGGCCGGGCGCTGGGCTAGGTACGGGCCGGGCGCGGGCTAGGTACGGGGCCGGGCACTGGCGAGGGACGGGGCCGGGCGCGGGCTAGGTACGTGCCGGTCGCTGGCTAGGTACGGGCCGGGCGCGGGCTGGTTACGGGGCCGGGCGCGGGCAAGAGACGAGGCCGGGTGCTGGGCGAAGGACGGGGCCAGGCGCGGGCTTGGTACGGGGCCGGGCATTGGGCGCGGAACGGAGGCCGGGCGCGAGGCTAGGTACGGGCCGGTCGCGGGCGAGGTACAGGGCCGGGCGCTGGCGAGGGACGGAGCCGGGCGCGGGCTAGGTATGTGCCGGTCGCGGACGAGGTACGGGGCCAGGTGCGGGCTAGGTACGGGCCGGTCGCGGGCTAGGTACGGGCCGATCGCGGGCTAGGTACGGGCCGGTCGCGGGCGAGGTACGGGCCGGGCGCGGGGCTAGGAACGGGGCCGAGCGCGGGCTAGGTACGGGCCGATCGCGGGCTAGGTACGTGGCCAGGCGTGGACGTGGTACGGGCCGGGCGCGGGGCTAGGAACGGGGCTGGGTGCGGGCTAGGTACGGGCCGATCGCGGGCTAATTACGGGCCGGGCGCGGGGCGACGGAGTCGACGGGGCCAGCGGGGCCGAGGGGCACAGCTAGGGGCGACGGGGCCAAGGGGCCGAGCCTAGGGGCTAGGGGCGACGCCAAGGGGCGACGGGCCGGGGCCTAGGCTAGCAGGGCATTAGGTGGTGGGCCCATTAATGTGAGGTCCTAGGAACTATTGCTCTTAATACCATGTTAGAATCTAGCTTGACTTAGGAACCATGGCTAGGGAGGATGGGTGCTAGCACGGATGTCGAGAGAGTTGAGTGTCGAGAGAAAAGTCGAGAAGGAGAAAATGAGGAAAAGTGTTTTCACTAGCAAGAGTTGGGATACAAATAGCAAACCCTAAATTGGGTTGTACTCACTACAGAGTACCCCACTGCAGGCTAGACAGCAAATACATTCTGACAACCCGCTCTTGTTCGCTATGCGAATTGCAGATTGGTTGTCGCAAAAGAGGGAGAAGCTGGGTAACTGAGCCAGCTTTGCTTCTTCCAGTAGTTCGCGAAGGTTTAGTCCTTCCTTGGTGGCAGAGCAGAGTGCTATGTATTCTGCTTCAGCAGAGGAGAGTGCAATTAGTTCTTGTTTGCTCGACTGCCACGAGATAGGTCCGACGGGCTCAAGTCGTTAGATGTAGCCGGTGCGCGGTCGCCTGTTGTCAGAGTCGTCTGCGTGGTCATCGTCCACATAGCCGATTAGCTTTGGAGTAGTGGTTCTGGTCTTGTGGTAGGTTAGGCCGATCGTTGGCGTGCTGACGAGGTAGTGTAAGGCGCGGTCGAGTTCGGCCATATGCTCTGCTTTGGGCCGCTGGATGTGGGTAGCAAGCTGACTCGCTGAGTATGACAGATCTGGTCGGCAGGTGACGGCTGCGAAGAGTAGACAGCCCGGTTTTCGTTGGTAGTCGCGTAGGCCAGCAAGTCCAAGCAGGTTGGATTTTTCCTGGTGATTTCCCGTGGTGTAGCGGTAGGGCGTGGAAATGGAGGCTGGCGTCAGTCTGAAGCGTTTTGCGATGGTGACGGCGTATTTTGCGGCGCTGAGGTAGATCGCGTTCTCTCCGTCTAGAATGTTGAGTCCAAGGTACTGGGTCGTGGTAGAGGAAACCGTGAGTGAGAGATCCTGTTGCAGCTCCCCTTCAAACCAGCTAGTGCTGCCATCGGTGGAGCCTATGTAGAGTAGGTCGTCTACATACACGATGAGTAGAATGTACTCGGCTTCCTTTGTGAGTCTGTACATGCCCTGGTCGTGTGGTAATTGCTGAAAGCCAATGCGGATTAATCGGGCGTGTAGGTACTGCTGCCACAGCCGCGGAACTTGCTTGATGCCGTACAGGGACTTGAGCAGCTGACAGACTTGATAAGGGTATGTGTTGGATCCGTGTGGTTGCTCGACAAAGATTTCGGCATTGACGGGAGCGTAGAGGAACGCGTTAGCTACGTCGATTTGGCGGAGCTTCTTCTGCTTCATGGCGGCTAAAGCGAGGAGAATTCGCAAGGAGGTATGTCGGCTGATTGGCGCGAAAGTCTCGGTGAAGTCTCGCCCGCGCTCTTGATCGAAGCCACGCACGACCCATCGCGCTTTGAATTTGTCAATTGTCCCGCCAGCTTTCGTTTTCACGCGGAAGACCCACTTTCCCATGAGAATGGTTTTGTTGTGTGCCACTCCGATGGGTACTATCTTCCAGGTGTTTCTGTGTTCCAGTGCTTTTAACTCCCTGTCCATGGCTTCTCGCCATTTTTCCTTGTGTTCCCCCCCCAGAGCCTGCTGAACCGTAGTAGGCTCTCGCGGCACTGGTGCGCCATGGACTGCGGTGACCAGCCCAAGAATCTGCAGCCCACTCTGTGTGTTGCGAGGGGGATTTGGGTCCTCGGGATGAACTGCTTCGTCTCCCGCTTCTGGATCAGGTAAGAAGTTGGGGCCTATGCGTTCTGAAACGTTTGTGTTGACCGGCTGTGGTGTAACGTAACCGTTGTCGGCGAAGTCGTAGTAGAATTCGGCGTTGATGCTTTCTCGAGGATTTTCGTCGTCCATTGGAACAGGTACCGAGCAGTAGGG